TAGTTTTATTTTTGTAAAAAAATAAAAGAAAAAAAAAGGATAATAATAAATAAATAAATAATAATAATAAAGAAAAAAAAAAAAGAGTGATCCCAGGCCACTCCTCGAGATTTGCCAAATGCTAACGGGAAGCTGAATTTCTGTTCCTTTCGGACCTCTCCTTCGGCCTCCAAATTGTTCAGGCTCCTGATCCTGTCGTGACTCAAACTTCATCGACCGCAGCTTTTCGTTTAAGCAGACCTCGGTGCCGATTTGCCTCTTTGCTTTCCCATATTTTGTATCTTTCGGTTTCTGTCATGGGACTTTATAACGAGCGAGAAATACAGCCTCAAAGTGAACGGTTAAACACACCCGCACGCTTTGAGTGACCCTTATTTATTATCGTTTACTTAGATATTTTTAATTCTTGTTTATAATTCTTGTTTTCCTAGTTGTTGGGTTGGTTTGTTTTGTTTTGTTGGTTTTTTTTTCCTTGTAAAGTTATTTCGGTATTTTGGGGAAAAAAATATCTGTACCCTTTTGCTTTCTTTTGTAATTATTATTATTATTATTGTACTTTTGAACTGTGCAATATTGTACGACGATTCTTAAAGCACTGCTTTTATTTGAATGGTGAGGAAAGGATTTTTAGCACTGTATAATTACGTTCCTTCATGTTGTACAAAATAAAATTAAAAAAAAAAAAAAGAACTAAAAGCGAAGGAAAATGAGAAGAGAGGCGCAGGGCATGGGAATAAGCATCAACCTGGCTTATGTGAGTAAATAAGGGAGATTCGGTGAGCTGGGCGCTTTAAGTGAAGGACAATCAACTTTAGGGTAATTTTAATTTATTTGATATGATGTACAGTTTTCTTCTAAAGTCCATCGAGTATGTGGATTTTAATAGGCAGAAATCAAGTGAGGAGTGGACACCTCTAGTCTCTCTCTGTCTTAGTGTCTGCTCACCTGTTGTCTGACAATTGTTTGCTGTCTTCCCAAGGGTTTGGGTTGGTTTCTTGATTTTATTTTAATTCCCGCCCCCCCGCTCCTTTTCGGTTGTACTCTCTGCCCTCTCGCTTTCTGTTAGGGATCGGTCCTATTTTTAAAACAGCCTATATTGTTATAAACTTAATGTTGTGGTGGAAAAAAAAAATCAATAAAACCCGTTCCTTATCATTTTTTAAAGTGTGGCTTCGGAGAAAAAAAAAAACCAACAACATAAAAACAAACAGACAAACAAAAAACCAAATAAAACAAGGGTTGTTTGGGATCGGTGCCGCCTGCTCGGCCGGGGGGGCGGCGGGGTCCACGGGAGCGGGTGTCCGGGGGTCCACTCCGACGGGGAGCGGATCGACGGGGTGGGGGGCGTGAGGGGGCTTTTCCCCATCCCCCCCGCGGTTGGGTAACCCCGAGCGAGGGGTCCCAGACCCCTAGGGAACCCCTTCGGGCCGGGCGGGGAGGGGATCATGGGGGGTGTCCCCTGTGTCCCTTCCCACCGCGGGGCTTCCCCTCAACTTCTGGCCGCCCCTTCCTCAACCCCCGGTGGCTGCTTCGCCTCCCGGCGGGGCTCGGTGCTGCCCTTCCCCTTCTCCTCCTTCTCCGGGGGAGGGGCGGTTGCCCAAAGGCACCCCAGGATACCGTGTCCCCCCCCCCGCGCCCTCGCCCTCTGCCCACGGCCGAAGCCGCCACTCGTGTTAATACACCCGACAGAGTTATTTCGAGATAGGATCGCTCTCCGCTTCCCGAAGATTGGCCCGAATCGACGTGTTTATTGCGCCGAGGGCAGGATTTCGGGCCAAAAAAATTAAAATAAAACGCAGCGTTGCGAAAAGATAATCCCGCGTTTTCTTTTCGTTTGGGATAAAAACCCTGGCAATGGGTCGTAAATGAAAAATAAACAGAGTTTCGGAGTCAAAATACGCCGCTCGCTGTGTCGCCTACAAACAGAGTGATGCCTTTTGTGTTTGCAGTACTAACTTTGGGACAAGTCGCTTGCAGCTCATTAAAAATATTGTTGTAATAGCAAATACGTCTTTACAGCGCGGTAGCACGATGTTATCAAACGGCAAA